GAACAATTGCAGGTGCTGGTCATCAAGAGGGTGCCATTGGTGCTGCTAGTACTCTATTATTTCCATCTGCTCTATCAGGACCGAGGTAAAGAAAGGTGACTTCAACAAACAATGTTTTGCAGATTGTTTAACCTTTTAAGTTTTTTGTTTTTGTGTGTGTTTTTGTTTTGTTTTTTCGGTGCTGATAAGTTTTAGGATTTCAATTTATATTATAAACATTGTCATATAAAGCCATACTATTAGGCTGTTACACTTCAGATACATATCAACTCGTGAAACTACTGTCAGATGAATTTGCCTGATATCATGTGCATTTGTTTAGAAATCCTCCCTACCATCTAATCTTAAGAGAACAAGGTAGCCAGGGTTAAATATGAGGAACTGCAAGCTTATCTCATTTCATTTTATAGGGAAATGAGACCTAATAAAAAACAATGCATGCAAATAAAAGATTAATTGTTCCTAGGAAAGTCTCAGCTAATATGTCACGAATAAGTGCATTTATAAAATTTTGACACTTGCTGCATACTTCTTAATTCAATGGTTTTCAATTCAACAACAATTGAGTATATTTGAGCAAGGTTAATTAGTCTTTTGTATACTTGACAATCGATTGTATTCAATTCAACAACACTTGCTGCTCCACTTAATGGCTGGCCAGTTCAGAATCCAACTCTTACGTTGTATTTGGATCATAGATTTGGATACGGTTTTGGACGGAGAAACATAAATGGAGAAAAAATTGAACTTATATTTAATTCATATTTGCTTCACATTTTTTGTTTCCCTTTTCAAATATCCCTACCCAAATTCATGATCCAAACATAGACTTAGTTTCTACGCAATTAACAAGTCCTTTCTATACTCTACTTGGGGCACAGCTTCACTAGACTATTTTCCAAATAATCAACACACTGAAAACTAAAAAGCTTCTTTATTCTTTGGCATACCTCTAGGCTTCTCGTTCAAGAAGAAGTTAAATTGTAGGAGATTTTGGTTGTCTCTAAATTCAAATTCTACTCTCATATTTTCTCTGAGATTTATTTCATATCAAGGAACCCTAAACAGACTGTCAGTGATAAGCCTCTCCAACTCGTAAGCTTAGCCAATACAAAGCCAACACCAAAGGAATATTAAGTGAATAGAATTAAGAGCATCTCCAACGGTGAATCAAAAATTTCACCAAATCTGAGTTAAAAAATGGCCATTTCCTGAATTTGATACTTTAGGCTCCAACGGTTCACCTTCACCAAATCTATCCCGGGACAACCGGGTGGTCGACCGGCCGGTTGACCGCAAACTGAGACAATCGTCACTAGAATCCCATGAAGTCAAACAATATCTCTAACATATTACTTGACAAGATCATCCATTGAGTTGTCATCGCTTGCATGTAATGTTGGATATGTCCAGTTTTTTTTTTTTTTTTTTTTTTTTTTAACGGTTTAAACTTTTTTTCCTGAACTGTTTGAATCTTTTACTGGTTGACCGGTTGGTCAACCGGCCGGGCAACCGGTTGGTCGACCGGTGTAGCATTTTCAACGGTCAGTAACAGTGATTTGGTAAAATCTGTGTCTTGATCTCAGTTTGATGTCTTGTTTGCTGAATTCTCATTTTGGTATGACTTTGGTGCAACCGTTGGAGCGTGAAAAGTGGGTTTTTCATCAAAATTTAAATCTGATGCTGGGTTTGGTTCACCGTTGGAGATGGTCTAAGATATGGACAGAATATGATTTGGTAAAATCTGTGTCTTGATCTCAGTTTGATGTCTTGTTTGCTGAATTCTCATTTTGGTATGACTTTGGTGCAACCGTTGGAGCGTGAAAAGTGGGTTTTTCATCAAAATTTAAATCTGATGCTGGGTTTGGTTCACTAAGTGAATAGAATTAAGATATGGACAGAATATAATTAAAAAGAGCACGGTTATTGACAGAGTCAATAGATCTGTCATTCTACAACAGTTACACATCATGTGAGACAGTTATGTCCGATTCTGTGATCAATTCTCGTGCTCCTAAACTTTTTCTTTCTCGAAACCTCTCTTCCGGGTCAAAATCGTTGTGTAACATGTATCCTCTCTTGTTCTAGTTGTCTTTCTATAGCATCCAATTGGGCCTATTTGTTTTTATGACAACTAATCATTTCAAAGTTTCAGCATACTATTACAATCTTTTTTAAGGAGATGCCGACCGAGTGCCATAAAAATTCTAGTATTAACTACAACAAACATATCAGACCAAACCAAATTTCCATTATTGAACACCCAAGAAACCTATAAACAATCAGCTTCAGTTGTACAGTATGCTAAAAAAATTGTAACCTAATATGTACACCAAACAAATTTTGAATCTCCTCAAACTAGTTTCTCAAACAGATAAGTAATTTGATGCTAAACTAACAAATTAAAGAATTTTCTGAAAACATAGAGAGATACATTTATTCAGAAACCTGTAAATGGAACTTGAAACGTAGATTTGTTACCTAAATAGGACCAAGTTACTGAGACTGTTTGTTGGTAGATTGGTAATTAGAGACCACCAGGATTTCGATACACAATTGAATCAAAACCTCAGAGATTTCACTGGTAGTCTTCAAAGACGATTTCGACTTCGATATTGTTGAGACTTGAGATACACGAGACGAGGGATTTCGATTTCGATTTCGATTTCGATTTCGATTTCGACATTGTTGAGACAGACGGAAACAGAAGAGGTTGTTTTTCGATTTAGTTTTTTACATTTATTTTTTAGATAAATTATAAATATAGCTTCGAAATTTATTTAAAATATAAATTACCCATATAATTTTACAAATTACATTAAATTCTTTTAAATTTTTAATCACATAAAAAATAAGAATAATGTTTTAGAACACTAAATTGGGAGCTTTAGAGCATCACTAATGATGTGGCACAGTGGCCCCCACGAAAGTGATTTGATGTTTTGGCTTGAGTTTGTTTTTTTTTTTTTTTTTTAAGCTCTCATTAGAGCTATTAGTGGTCCAAAAATTAGTAGGATGAATCACCACTCAAAAAATAATTCACTTTGGTTTCAGTTTTCATTTTCAAAAAAATTTCCTTTTTCGTTTTTTTGTTTTCACTAATTTTTTTTAATATTTTAAATAATTTTTTAAATACACTTAACATAAATACACTTTAAACGTATAATATTTGTAAAAAAAATATTTAAAAAATTCACTAAATATCAAAAAAAACTAATATTCAGTACATTTTTCGTATTTTTGTGTATTTATTAATTTTTTAAAATATTTTTTTCACAAATATTTTACTATTTAAATATATTTCAGTAAGGTGAATCTAAAAAAGTAAAAAAATTATTTAAAATTATAAAATATCCACTAAAAACAAAAAATAAAAAACTCAACTTTCAAAAAACCGAAACCGAATACACTGATTACTTTTATTAATAAATTATTAAATCATTTAATAATTTTTAATGATATTAGAAATATATACGAAATTTTTGTTAAATCAAAAATTCTAGTAATAGGATATTTGTAATATTGAAAAGGGGATTTTTTTTTAAGGTCTCTAGTATTAAGATTTTATAGCGTAAAGGACATTCAATATTTTCATAATATCTAAGGTCCCTCAACATCAATCCAGAAAAAATTCGATTTAGAGAAATTTCAATCCAGAGAATTTCTCTGGACACATCACAGAGAAAATTTCAAATTTCTCTAGACACTGCTCTGCTTCTTAATATTAGTCCTCCGAGGGTAGTGATATAATCCAAAGATCCTATACCTATTAATTCAGTACCTATTAATTCAATCTACACTCTGTAATTCATGGACTAAAACATGGATTCCAAATTTCAATCCAGAGAAAATTGAATGAACACCCAGAGAAAATTTCAATCCAGAGAAATTTGAACACCCAGAGAAAATTCCAATCCAGAGAAAATTGAACATTTCAATGTAGAGATCAGTGCCTATTAATTTCAACCTACACCCTGTAATTCATGAAGGTAGTGATATAATCTAGAGATCCAGTACCTATTAATTCAATCTACACTTTGTAATTCATAGACTGAAATATGGAAAACATGGATTCCAAATTTCAATCCAGAGAAAATTAAATGAACATCCAGAGAAAATCTCAATCCAGAGAAAATTGAACATTTCAATCTAGAGATCAGTACCTATTAATTTCAATATACACTTTGTAATTCATGAGGGTAATGATATAATCCAGAGATCTAGTACCTATTAATTTAATCTACACTCCGTAATTCATGGACTAAAATATGGAAAATATGGATTCCAAATTTCAATCCAGAGAGAATTGAATGAATACCCAGAGAAAATTTTAATCCAGAGAAATTTGAACACCCAGAGAAAATTTCAATCCAGAAAAAATTGAACATTTCAATCTAGAGATAATACCTATTAATTTCAATCTACACTCTATAATTCTTGGACTAAAATATGGATTCTAATGACACAACCTTGAGATCCACAGCTTGATGACTACCCAGGTTGCAACTTCTCACAAATCACAAAGAAAGATTCTATGTATCCGAGGAGCAAAATAATTTTCCCATTAAAGAAAGAGAGACCCACACAAAGATAGTGCACTATTTATATACAGAGAAACAGAGGAGCAAAATAGTTCGAATAGTTTCACCAGAATCTCACATTTCAACTTTTGAATTGGTTTAATCATCTATTCATTGTTAATTGTTGAACCAGTAAAAATTGTGAACAAAGTACAAAAGAGCCACACACACACACACACACACACACACAAAAAAGAAGAAGAAGTAGAAGAAGAAGAAGAAGAAGAAAGTGGTTGTTATCAAAGACTACAAAATTCCAAGAAAAGAAAAGAAAAAAACTTACAGAAATTAGTAAAATTTGCCTCCAAAAAACAAAAAATTACAACAAAGTGGAAAAACAAAAACCCATTATCAATCATATATACTTGTCTACCTTAAATTCATTTTTGTTGAAAGCATTAATTAGTTTTTGAGATGAGCTCAATAATCAGGCATGAGCTGACTAATTTTACCTTCTTCAATAGTCATATTTTGCTCAGAAACTCTCAACCATATACACACAACACTAAAACAAAGCACCAAGCTCAACAACCCGCTTCCCAATCCGATCCCCACAATCGCCATAATCGAAAGGCCTTTACTCTTCAATGGCGGCAATGGGTACCCATAGAGATCCTTATTCCCCACATACGAGCTAGTATTGAATCTCACCAAATTTCCAGTCAAGTTCCCCGGCGCCACCGGAATTGGACTCGCCAATTGGTTATTCGATACATCGAAAACCGATAACAGCACCAGAAGCCCCAGTTGCTGCGAAATCAGACCCGTGAGAAGATTATTGCTGAGATCGATGACGTTGAGGTAGGCGCAGAAGGCGATTTGGGGTGGGATTTGGGCGGAGAGGAGGTTGGAGGAAAGGTTTAGGAATTTCTCTGATATAATATATGGGCGTGGGTTTAGGGACCTTAAACATTAAAAATGATATTATGAATATTTTCCATTACTAAAAATGGGAGAAGGACCTTAGACTAATTTTCCCTATTTAAAACTACATAGACATATTGTAATTTATCTTTATTTTTTTAATTGTATTCCTTTATTAAATTTATTACTAGTTTAATTTCTAGTTTGAAATTTTAAAATTTATTACTAGTTTAATTTCTAATATGGGATTATGACTTTATTCTGTGCAGAATTGCATAACATATGTTCTCCACTATTGAAGAAGTTATTTAGGAAAACATTGTTGGAAATGGTTATAAATTTTGGATAAAATCAGAATTTTATCTTAAGTTCGGTCTATTTTTTAGGTGGACCCCGTGCATCGATTTTCACAGATCAAAGTGGTAACGCGTTCTATGCCGCGTTGTGATTTACGTGGTATATTTAGTTGCTCAAAACCATTACCGAGTGAATGGAAAATTGAAGCCAAAGTGTGCTCCATAGAAATGGAGTTTTGGTAAAAATTCCTTAAAGTTGTAAAATGGCTTGTCCCACATTGATTTGGTAGGAAGTTTTGAAAGGATTTATAAGGCATGGGTTTGGTACTTGGGGTGTGCCCCAAGGGGCACCTAAGTGTTTTAGAAGGAGAGGTTATGGGCAAAATGGGCTAGACCCATTGGACCCAAAAATCACCACACACGTCGTCCGGTCGGGCCAGCTAGGCTGGGCCTAGGCTTGGGCGCGGGTGCGTGGTGTGAGGTTGGGTTGGGCTTGTTCGGCCTAATACTAATCTTTTTGGGCCAAAGACATTTGAATTTAATTTTATTTTTGGTAAAATAAAATCCATAATTCAAATTAAACTGGTTTGGTTTTTCTGTACATCCAAACAGGGCCCTTCCCGTATTAAACCGGAAATAATCTGATCCGGATTTACTGTACACCCAAACAAGGCCCTTCCCGTTTTGTTATCTGTTTAAATTGTAACCCAACAGATTCAAATCTGTTTAAATTCAAAACCAACAGGTAACATACCTGTTCAATTCAAAAACCTAGAGCCACCATTCCATCTATAAATAGGACAGCCCTCATTTGGATTTTTAGAACTCTAATTTTCGTCCTTCATAATTCTGCCAACATCCTCTTCATTTTGCTGCATTATTTTCTTGTCAGAGAGAGTATAAACACTTTGTGTGTTCGTTAGACAAACAATTTGTAGTGCTGCTATTGTTTGTAGTAGATCATTTTATCCTGGGAGATAGAGGTCCACATTTTGAAAGCACCGTGGAGAGGACGAATCTGTCTTAAGGACACAGTGTCAAACACTGGACTTGATCAGATTATAATTCGAAGAAATTAAGACTTTATCAAAAAATAATTCGAAGAAATTAAATCATGTAAGTTATTTAATTTATTTTCAGTGTTGTTTTTATTTATTTTAATCAGATTTTAATTTTCTTTTTGTAACAAAATAAAATCTATTTTTATTTATTTTTTTTTATTTCGAGTTTGATTTTTGTAATCAAACAAATTCTCTCATTTTGTTTATTTCTTTATATTCTTGTTGTTGTTTTGTACACAACAGAATTTAATCTATTTAAATACAGTGAAGATTGTCCTACAATCTTAAGACAGACTTCTTTTTGGTATCTTCATTGTATTTAATTTTCTGTAATTTTATAAAGACACATTCTGGTTGAAAAACAAATAGTGATTTATGCTATTTGACAGATAGTAGTAATATACTGTCTCTTTTCTTTGACAACTAGTAGTAATATACTGGTGTCATTAACAATTGCAGAATATTATTTGGTGTTACAGAAAATTATTTTGGTATTTTATTTTTCTAGTTTTAGTAACAAGGAAAATAAAATTATATTATTTTCTAGTTTTAGTAACAAAGAAAATAAAATTATTTTGTGTTTTAATTTATTTTCTGATTTTGGTAACTAAAAAATTATTTTGTGTTTGTTCTGATTTTTGTAATCAGATAATTTTGTGATATTTTATTTTCTAGTTTCAGTAACAAGGAAAATAAAATTACAGTATTTTCTAGTTTTAGTAACAAGAAAAATAAAATGATTTTGTGTTATAATTTATTTTCTGGTTTAAGTAACTAGAAAATTAAGTTGTGGTTTGGTTTTCTGATTTTTGTAATCAGATATTATTCCGGTATTTTATTTTACTAGTTTTAGTAACAAGGAAAATAAAATTATAGTATTTTCTAGTTTTAGTAACAAGAAAAAAAAATGATTTTGGGTTATAATTTATTTTCTGGTTTAAGTAACTAGAAAATTAATTTGTGGTTTGGTTTTCTGATTTTTGTAATCAGATATTATTTCGGTATTTTATTTTACTAGTTTTAGTAACAAGGAAAATAAAATTATAGTATTTTCTACTTTTAGTAACAAGAAAAATAAAATGATTTTGTGCTATAATTTATTTTCTGGTTTAAGCAACTAGAAAATTAATTTGTGGTTTGGTTTTCTGATTTTTGTAATCAGATATTATTTCGGTATTTTATTTTACTAGTTTTAGTAACAAGGAAAATAAAATTATTTTGTATTGTAATTTATTTTCTGGTTTTAGTAACTAGAAAATTAATTTTGTTAATCAATCATGTAACTTTGTGACTCGGTCACAATCTGTTAATTTTGTAAGTAACTTATGGTTTCGTTTGGTAGACCACTTATTTTTGAACCTTTGTGAAAATGTGTTATTATTTTGACTTTATCATAGTTCATCGTGAGTATACATGGAAAAATTTGTTTCTAGAGTAAAATATTAGTTTGACAAACTAATTTTATTTTTATTACAATGAGGATTCATAGTCTTGAATTGTTTCTGCACTTAA